ATCTTCCTCTGGTAAAAAAATCTGCAATGAGAGCGAGGGCATCTTCCCCACTGGAAAAAAAAAAAAAGCTTTTTTTTTGGATAGAGTGTGTCTTCCTTCTGCAACAAAATTTGCTTTGAAAGGAGGGGAGTGTACCTTTGCTCCCACAAAAGTCTTGCTTTGCAGTAAGGCAAAGGAGTGTGCCTTCCTTTTGCAAAAACTCTACGCAATAAAGGCAGTATGTGCATTTATTTCTTGGGGGGAAAACCACTTTGCAATAAAGGCAATACATGCATTTATTTATTGGAGAAAAAAACCCAAACCTTTGCAATTAGGGGAGCAAGTGCATTTTGCTCTTGCAAATAATTATTATCCTTTGCAATAAGGTGTGCATTTTTCTTTACAAAAAAAAAAAAAAAATCCCTTAGCAAGAAGGGGACCACGTGCGTCTTTGCTGCTGCAGAAGGGGAATCCCTTTGCACTATTTCTTTGCTCTCACCCTCCCCAAGTCTTCCTGTCCTAAAGATGGAGCTGTGTGTGCAGAGCTGGACTTTGCAGCCTCTTCCTCTCCAAAGCAAGATGATTTTTTTTTTTTTTTTCCCCTTTCCTGCCCATACATGTGTTTCTGTTTTGTATTGTAGCATTTGTTCTGGCGGCTCATATTTACATTTTAAGTGCATCTGGTGGGTGGGCGCTAAGGGAGGAAAGGGAAAAAAAAAAAAAAAATTACCTCCTTTTTTCTGCAACAGGAAACACCACCAAAAATATTGCAAAGGCCCCGAGTTGTTGCTTTCTTTATGCTGCACCCTTCGCCCTAAAATCAGGTTTGCAATTGGGGGGGATTGGGGGGGGGGGGCAGGGAGTTGGGGGGGGGAGGAGGAGGAGGGGTAAGGGGATGGGGGGGGCTTAAAAAGCCTTAAAAAAAAAAAAAAAAAAAAAAAAAAAAGGCAGGCAGGCGGATCCACGTGGTTTAATGGGGCCAGACAGAGATCCCATTGTTCAGCAGCAATAATAAAGGGGAAATTAAAAAAAAAAATGGGGGGGGGGGGCAAACGGAGGGAGAGGGATGGAGCCGGGGGGGGGGGGGGGCGGCCTCAACCGCGCAGGAGGCTGGGATTTATTTTGCACAACCCCCCCCAAAATATCATTCTCCCCCAGCAAAAAAAAAAAAAAAAAGCCGCCCCCCCCCCCCCCCCCCCCCAACAAACAAGCAAATAAAAAAGGCCAGAAGCAGCAGGAGCACAAGCGGGGCCCCCCCCGAGAGCAGGTGTGGGGGTGCGGGGGGGGGGAAGGGGGGAGCCGGTACCCCCCCCGGTGCGCAGCTCCCCCCACTTCCCTTGGGGGAGGGGGAAACGGGGGGGGAGGGCTTTTTGTCTCCGGGTCGCTTTCTTGCCGTGCAGCCCCCCCGGTTTGTGATTCCCCTTCCGCAACCCCCCCCCCCCCCCCTTTGCGAATCGGCCTTTTACAACCCCTCCCCGAAACTCCCCTCCCCCCTGAAACCCTCTTTATACCCCCCTCGTTTGTACCCCCCCTCTGCGAATCGCCCCTTTGCAACCCCCCCACTTTGCAAATAGACTCTTTGTAACCCCCTCGTGCACCCCCCCACAAACTCCCCTTTTGTAATCCCTCCCCGCAAATCGACCCTTTCCAAAACCCCCCCCCCGCAACCTCCCCCTTCCCCAAACCTCTTTGCGCCCCCGCCTTTGCAACCACCCGCGCACCCCCCTGAAAATCGTCCCTTTTCACCCCCCCTTTGCAACCCTGTTTTTGTGTCCCCCCCCCGCCTTTGCAAACTGTCCCGCTGCAAGGCCACTTTTGCACCCCCACTTTTACAACCCTTCATTTGCAAACCGTCCCTTTGCACCCCCACTTTTGCAACCCCCTCTGCAACTCCCCCCTTTCCACCCCTCCCTTTGCGCCCCCCCTTTTGCAATCCTCCTTTGCAAACCGTCCCTTTGCACCCTCCCTTTACAAATTGTCCCTTTGAACCTTCCCTTTGCGCCCCCACTTTTGCAAACCCCCCTTTACAAATTGTCCTTTTGCACCCCCCTTTTGCAACCCCCCCCTTTGCAACTCCACTTTTACAACCCCCCTTTGCACCGCCCCTTTGTACCCCCCTTTTACAAATCGCCCTTCTGCAACCCCCCCCTTTGCCCCCCTCCCCTTGCAACCCCACTTTCGCACCCACTCTTTGCATCCCCCTTTTACACGCTGTCCTTTTGCACCCCCCCCTCTGCACCCCCCTCTTTCCGACCCCCCCTTTCCACCCCCCTTTTACAAACTGTCCTTTTGCACCCCTCCTTTGCAGCCCCCCCTTTGCGACCACTTTTGCCCCCCCTTTTACAAACTGTCCTTTTGCAACCCCCTCCCTTTGCACCCCCTCCTTTGCACCCCCCTTTTACAAACTGCCCTTTTGCAACCCCCCCCTTTGCACCCCCACTTTTGCACCCCCCCCCTTTACAAAATATCCCTTCTCACCGCCCCCCTTTGCGACCCCCCACTTTTGCACCCCCCTTTTACAAACTGCCCTTTTGCAACCCCCCTCCTTTGCACCCCCGCTTTCGCACACCCCCCCCTTTACAAAATGTCCCTTCGCACCGCCCCCCCTTTGCACCCCCACTTTTGCACACACCTCCCCGTCGCGCCTCCCTTTTACAAACTGTCCTTTTGCAAACCCCCCACCCCCCTTTGCAACCCCACTTCCGCACCCCCCCCCTTTACAAAATATCCCTTTGCACCCCCACTTTCGCAAACACACCCCCCCCCCCCCTTTACAAATCGTCCCTTTCCCCCCCCCCCTTAAACTTTTAACTGTCTCCCACCGCCCTTAGGGCCGGGGGGGGGTGTGGGGTGTGTGTGATCCCCCCGCTCTCCACCACCCCCTCCCCCCCCCCCCCCCCCCCCCCCCCCCCCCCATGCTTTTGTGTCCGGGGGGGGTGGGGGGGTGGGGGCCGGGCCGGCGGCGGGCGGGTGACGGCGGCGTGTCCCTGTCCCCAGGCGCCATGCCCCGGCGGAAAGCGGCGGGGCCGCCCTGGGAAGCGGCTCCGGGCAACGGGGCGGCGGCGGCGGCGGCGGTGGCGGGAGGGAGGCGGCGGCCCGGGCCGGCGGCGGCGGGAGGGAGGCGGCGGCCGCGGCCGGAGCGCGGCGGCGGCGGCGGAGGAGGAGGAGGAGGAGGAGGAGGAGGAGGAGGGAGCAGCGGAGGGAGCAGCGATGAAGATGCGCCCCGGGAGCGGCGGCCGCGGGACGGCAGCCCCGGAGGGAGGAGGCCCGGCAGGCCCGGGGGAGCCGGGAGCGGAGGGGCCGGTGGAGGAGGAGGAGGAGGAGGAGGAGGAGCGGCGGCGAGGGGACAGAGCGTCGTGATCTGCGAGCCCGAGCACAGCAAGGAGCGCATCGTGAGCGGGGAGGCGGGAGGGCAACCCCCCCCCCCCCCCCCATTGCGCCCCTCCCCGCACCCCCCAAGGCAGCCCCCCCGTTGCCCACCCCCTTTGTAACCCCCCCATTGCCCACCCCCTTTGTAACCCCCCCATTGCCCACCCCCTTCGTACCCCCCCCGTTGCCCACCCCCTTTGTAACCCCCCCATTGCCCACCCCCTTCGTACCCCCCCCTTATTGCCCACCCCCTTTGTAACCCCCCCATTGCCCACCCCCTTCGTACCCCCCCCTTATTGCCTACCCCCTTTGTAACCCCCCCATTACCCACCCCCTTCGTACCCCCTTATTGCCCACCCCCTCTGTACCCCCCTTATTGCCCACCCCCTTTGTAACCCCCCCATTGCCCACCCCCTTTGTAACCCCCCCATTGCCCACCCCCTTTGTAACCCCCCCGTTGCACACCCCCCATTGTACCCCTTTTGTACCTCCCCATTGCACCCCTCCTAGCACCCCCTAAAGCAGCCCCCCCCATTGCACACCCTGCACTGTACCCCCCCATTGCACCCCCTCATTCTAGCCCCCTGTTGCACCCCCTGATTGCACCCCACAGTGTACCCCCCCACACTGCACCCCCACATTGCACCCACTAACACAGCCCCCGTTGCCCCCCCCATATTGCAGCCCGCAGTGCACCCCCAGTTACATCCCTCACTGAACCCCCACATCACCCCCCCCATTGCACCCCTGAACGCACCCCTTTAATTCCTGCCTTACTGTACCCCTTAACGCACCCCATTAATGCCCCCCCAGCACCCCCAATACACCCCATCATTGCACCCCCAGCGCACCCCCTGACGCCCCTCCTCGTTGCACCCCTATATTACCCCTCAGTGCACCCCAATACTGCAGTGCTTCACTGCAGGCCCCTAAATGCACCCCATGCCCCTAGCCCCCCCCTCACTTGTACCCCCAAATTATACCCCCACTGCACCCCCTTCCCCCCGTTATCTGATGACCCCTCTGACTTCTTGCAAGCGCTGATGCATTTGGGGGGGGACCCAAAAGCACAGCCCACCCCCCCTTTTTCCAACCCTTTTTTTTGCATTGCAAGGGGATGCTAAAAAACAGGGGAGCGCTTGGCTTCAGGGCCTTTTGGGGTGCACGGGGGCTTCAGTGGGGTGACACTGCAAAATGTCCCCCCCCCACGTCCCTGATGTCCCCTGTGTGCCCCCCATCCCCCGTGTCCCTGATATTCCCTGTCCCCCCCATGTCCCCCACATCCCTGATGTCCTGTGTCCCCAATATTCCCTGTGTCCCCCATGTCTCTCACATCCCTCATGTCCCCCCACATCCCCTGTGTCCCTCATGTCCCCAGTGTCCCCCAATATCCCCCCAATGTCCCCTGTGTCCCCCACATTCACTGTGTCCCCTGTGTCCCCCATGTCCCTGGTGTCCCCTGGTGCCCCTCACATCTCCAGTGTCCCCCAGTATCCCCTGATGTCCCCCCTCCATGTCCCTGGCGTCCCCTGATGTCCCTCACATCCCCAGTGTCCCCCAATATCCCCCCAATGTCCCCTGTGTCCCCCACATTCACTGTGTCCCCCATGTCCCTGGTGTCCCCCTGATGTCCCTCACATCCCCAATGTCCCCCATGTTCCCCATGTCCCCCGTGTCCCTCACGCCCCGATGTCCCCCGCATTCCTGGTGTCCCCAATGTCCCCTGTGTCCCTCGTACCCCGGTGTCCCTGGTGTCCCCCGTGTCCCTGCTGTCCCTAGCGTCCCTCACACCCCCCATGTCCCTCACACCCCCCATGTCCCCGGTGTCCCCGATGTCCCTCGGGTCCCCAGTGTCCCCCGGGTCGCTGACGGTGTCGGGGTCCCCGCAGAGGCTGGAGGGCTCCCGGTGCCGGGGGCAGCTCCTCATCTTCGGAGCCACCAACTGGGACCTGATCGGCCGCAAAGAAGTGCCTAAGCAGCAGGGTGAGGGCACTTGGAGCTCAATTATTTGTTTTTTTTTTTCTTACTTTCATGCATTTCTATTTCATTTTTATTGAATTAATATTTTGGGGTTTTTTTTTTTTTTATAAACCAGTTACAGTCGTAATGTGGGATGCAGGGGGTGCGCTGGGTCTCCTGCAAAGCAAAATAACCACGCTGCTTATTTTTTATTTTTTATGCATTTCTATTTAGTTCGTTTTTTCTGCTTATTTGGATGCCTTTATATTTAATTAATTAATATTGAGGGGGGTTACAGCTGCATATCGTAATCTGGGCCAGAACTTGGGGTACGGGGTGCAGTGGGTCTCCTGGAAAGCTAAATAAAGGCATTGCTTTTTTTCCTGTTAATTTTTAATGCATTTATATTTTATTATTATTTTTATTCATTAATGGTTTTGGAGGATTTTTTTTAGAGTCCCATAGCATAATCAGAGCCAGAATTTGGGGTGTGCTGGATCTCCTGCAAAGCAAAACAAACATGCTGCTTATTTTTTATGCATTTATAGTCAAACTTTTCATCTGCTTATTTTTTATGCCTTTCATTAGTTTTTTTATTAATTGTTATTTAGGGGTGGGTTGTTTTTATTTTTAAAGTGAATATTGTAATCTGGGCCAGAACTTGGGGTGTACCAGATCTCCTGCAAAGCAAAATAAATGAGCTGCTTATTTTTATGTGTTTGGATTTTAATTAATTTTATTCTCCTTATTTTTATGCATACCGACTTAATTAATTTTTAAAATTAATTAATCTTTTTGGAGGGGTTTCTTCTACCTTTGCATATTGTAATCTGGGCCAGAACTTGGGGTGTGGGGCATGCTGGATCTCCTTCAAAGCAAAATGACTGCATTGCTTATTTTTATGCATTTATATTTAATTACTATTTTTATTAATCAGTATTTTTAAAGGGATTTTTTACAGCTGCATAGTGTGATCTGGGCCAGAACTTGGGGTGCGCTGGGTCTCCTGCAAAGCAAAATAAATGTGTTGCTTATTTTTTATGCCTTTATATTTCGCTATTTTTTCTGCTTATTTTTAATGCATTTATATTTTATTATTATTTTTATTCATTAATTTTTTTTTTACAGTCCCATAGCATAATCTGGTCCAGAATGGTGCGATGGATCTCCTGCAAAGCAAAATAAATACGCTGCTTATTTTTTATGCATTTATATTTCATTATTTTTTTTCTGCTTATGTTTTATGCATTTATGTAATTATTATTTTTATTAATTAATTGGGGGGGAGTTGCAGTTGCATAGCGTAATCTGGGCCAGAATTTGGGGTGTGGTGGTTCTCCTGCAAAACAAAATAAATGCGTTGCTTATTTTTTATGCATTTATATTTCATTACATTTTCTGCTTATTTTTATGTGTTTATATTTATTTACTATTTTTATTAATTAATCTTTTTGGAGGCTCGGTTTTTTAGAGTTGTATAGCGTAATCTGGGCCAGAATTTGGGACGCGCTGGGTCTCCTGCAGAGCAAAATAACATCACTGCTTAACTTTTTATGTGTTTATATTCAATTACTTTTTTATATTTCTTTTTAATGCATTTATATTTAATTAATTTTTTTTATAGTTATTAACTGGGGGGGGGCAGTTAGAGCTGCACGGCACAATCTGGACCAGAACTTGGGGTGCGCTGGATCTGCCAAGCAAAATAACGGCGCTGCTTCCTTTTTATGCTTTTATATTGAATTAATTTTTTTTTCTGCATTTATAGTTTAATTAATATTGCTTTTTTTTTTTTTTTTTTTTTTTTTTGTGTGTCCCCTCTTTGTTGCTGATGCAGTTGCGTATCGGAATCTGGGCCAGAACTTGTGGGGGCCGCACAGGTACGGGTGTCTCTCAGGAATTCGGGTGCGGAGCGTGGTTTCGGGCCCCTGCGCTGCTCACAGCCTGCTCATCACCGCCGAGGGCAAGCTCTGGAGTTGGGGTGAGCGGGGAGAGGCGGGGGGAACCCCCCCCAAAACAAAAAAAAATAAAATAAAATAAAATTAAAAAAAAAAAACACCACCACAATACCACACCCCGTGGTGCCGGGAGGCTTCGTCCTCCCGTTTTGCTGCCAAAAAATGGCGATTTTTGGCTAGGCCGCAATGAAAAAGGGCAGCTGGGCCACGGGGACACGAAGCGGGTGGAAGCCCCGAAGCTCATCGAGGTGCTGGGGGGCGAAGCCATCGTGCTGGCAGCCTGCGGCCGTAACCACACCCTGGCGCTGACAGGTACTGGGGGGAAAAACGCACTTTTAGGGCAAATTGGCTGAAAGGGGCTCATTTGGCCTCCAAACACCTTTTTTTTTTTTTTTTTTTTTTTTGGCGTTGCAGAGAGCGGCTCGGTGTTCGCCTTCGGGGAGAACAAAATGGGGCAGTTGGGGCTGGGGAACCAGACGGACGCCGTGCCCAGCCCTACGCAGGTATCAACACTCCTTTCCGTGCTCCCCCTCACATTTTGTAGGTGAAAAACCAGCAGATTTGGGGATTTCTCGCGGAGAAAAATCCCTAGCAGAACGCAAACCCCTCGAGGACACAAGAGCCTCTTAGGGATGCTGCTTCATTTGCAGCTTCCGTGCAAATAAATGCAAAGAGGAATTTGAAAGAAAACCCCGGATTTGGGGGTTTCCCCTGCGGGATTCAGCTTTTTGCCTTTTCCCTTGGTTTTTTTTGTTATTTTTGTTTGTTTGTTTGTTTGTTGTTGTTGTTTGGGGTTTTTTTTTTAATTATTTTATTTTTTTTTTTTTTTATTTTGTTTTTTGGGGGGGGTTGGTTTTTTTGTTTGTTTGTTTTGTTTTTTTTTATTTTTTAGGGTTTTGGGTTTTTTTCCTCACCCCTTTTTCCTCTTCTCCCACAGATCATGTACAACGGGCAGCCCATCACCAAACTGGCCTGCGGGGCCGAATTCAGTATGATCATGGATTGCAAAGGAAACCTCTACTCCTTTGGGTGCCCCGAGTACGGGCAGCTGGGTACGGTTGCTATTTTGGGGTGATTTGCTAAAATTTTGAGCTTTTATGGCGTTGGGGGGGGGGAGGGGAAAAAGGTCCCTGCTTCGGTTTCCCTCATCTGGACAACCGAAGCATCCCTCGCCTTTGCCTCCAGGAAAAATAGTGGGGTGAGGGTGGTGAGTAAAAAGGGGTTTGCAAGAGGAGAGGGGGTTTCTGCAGCTGGCTTGGAAGTGGGGTGCGGGGAGGGGGGACACCCCGTTTTCATGCCGGTGCTCATCCGCAGGGCACAATTCGGATGGGAAATTCATCGCCCGGGCGCAGCGGATAGAGTACGACTGCGAGCTGGTGCCGCGCCGCGTGGCCATCTTCATCGAGAAGACCAAAGATGGGCAGATCCTGCCCGTCCCCAACGTGGTGGTGCGGGACGTGGCGTGCGGGGCCAACCACACGGTACGCGCGGCGGCGTGCGCGGCGTGCGCCCGTCGGTGCGGAGGTGCAGCGTGCACCCAGGGGTCAGCGCTCGCCGGAGCGTTCCTTTGGGGATGGAGATTTGCAGTGTGCACTCCAGGATGGAGGCGTGCAGTGTGCCTGTGAGGATAAATACTTGCAGCGTGCGTTTAGGGGTCGGGATTTGCAGCATGCAGTTTATAGAATAGAGGTTTGCAGGGCGCGTGTAGGGATAAATGTTTGCAGGCTGCGTTTAAGGGTAGAGGTTTGCTGCATGCATGGGAGAATAAAGATTTGCAGGGTGCATTTAAGGATCAAGATCTGCGGCGTGTGTCTAAGGATAAATATTTGCAGTATGCATTTAAGGATAGAGATTTGCAGCGTGTGTTTTAAGGATGAAGTTTTGCCGCATGCTTTTAACTATAGAGATTTGCAGTGTGCATTTAAGGATTGAAATCCGCAGCGTGCGTGTAAGGAGAAGTACTTTCAGTGTGCATTTGAGGGTTGAGTTTTGTAGCATGCATTTAAGGAGAAAATTTTGCAGCATGCCTTTAAGTATAGATATTTGCAGTGTGGATATAAGGATAAATAGTTGCAGCGTGCATTTAAGGATCAAGATTTGCAGTATTCATTCTAGGATAGAGGTTTGCAGTGTGCATATGAGGATAAATACTTGCAGCGTGCGTTTAGGGATCGAGATTTGCAGCATGCAGTTTAGAATAGAGATTTGCAGTGTGCACATCAGGATAAATATTTGCAGTGTGTGTTTAAGGATAAATACTTGCAGTGTGCATTTAAAGATTTGCAGCCTGCATTTAAGGGTTGAGATTTGAAGCAGGCATCTAAGGATAAAAATTTGCAGGGTGCATTTAAGGCTAAAGAATTGCAGTGTGGATTTAAGGATAAATATTTGCAGGGTGCATTTAAGGCTAAAGAATTGCAGTGTGGATTTAAGGATAAATATTTGCAGGGTGCATTCAGCATTTGCAATACGCACTGCAATCGATGCCATTGATTGTGGCTGCTGCAGCTTCCCCTGCACTGAGCTGCTCGGGTCTCAGCAGCTCATGGCTGTGGGGGGGGACATTTCTCCGCCCTCCAGCTCGTCCTGGACTCGCAGAAGCGCGTTTTCTCCTGGGGATTTGGGGGTTACGGGCGGCTGGGCCACGCCGAGCAGAAGGACGAGATGGTGCCTCGGCTGGTGAAGCTCTTCGACTTCCCGGGGCGCGGGGCGGTGCAGATCTACGCCGGCTACACGTGCTCCTTCGCCGTCAGCGAAACAGGTCAGGATTTCGGCTTTTTTAAAGCAAATCCATCGTTCTTTGGGGTGCTTCGGGGAGGCTCGGGGCGTGCCGTAGCTTGATGGGTGATGTCGGGGTTTGCAGGCGGTTTGTTTTTTTGGGGTGCCACCAACACCTCCCGGGAATCCACCATGTACCCCAAAGCCGTGCAGGACCTCTGCGGCTGGAAAATCCGCAGCCTGGCCTGTGGGTAAGTCCAAGCCCCCGTTTACCCCTAGCAAAAAAAAAACCAACCCAATTTCCTATTTTTTTGGGGTGCAGCCACCTGCAGGGTGGTTTGGGGGGGCACAGGGTCACGCTGCCTTGCACCCCGCTGCAGGAAAAGCAGCATCATCGTGGCAGCGGATGAGAGCACCATCAGCTGGGGTCCCTCACCCACCTTTGGGGAACTGGTAAGAAGGATTTACCGGGGACCCCCCCAACGCCCTGACACCCCAAATCCCCCCCCCGCCAGCTGCTAGCGGGAGCGACCAGCTGCTTCCCACCCCACCCCACTGATTTTCCCCCCCTCTCCGTGGGATGCACTTGGCAGGGCTACGGGGACCACAAGCCCAAATCCTCGACGGCTGCCCAAGAGGTGAAGACCCTGGATGGGATCTACACGGAGCAGGTGAGTGGGGGAAGGCGCTGGAGGATGCTGGAGGGAGGGCGCGTGGACCCCCCCTTAAATAAATGCTGCAGCTGATGCTATACGCAACTTATCACACCCATGGGGTGCTGGAGGGGGGCGCACATGGGCCCCCTCTTTAAATAAATACAGCAGCTGAGGCAGTGCACAACTCATCACACCCATGGGGTGCTGGTGGGGGGGGCACATGGGCCACCTCTTTAAATAAATACAGCGGCTGAGGCAGTGCACAACTCATCACAGCCATGGGGTGCTGGAGGGGGGGCACATGGGCCCCCTCTTTAAATAAATACAGGGGCTGAGGCAGTGCACAACTCATCACACCCATTGGGTGCTGGGGGGGGGACACACATGGGCCCCTTCTTTAAATAAATGCATGCAGCGGCTGAGGCAGTACACAACTCATCACACCCATGGGGTGCTGGAGGGGGGGACACATGGGCCCCCTCTTTAAATAAATGCAGCGGCTGAGGCAGTACACAACTCATCACACCCATGGGGTGCTGGAGGGGGGGGCACATGGGCCCCCTCTTTAAATAAATACAGCAGCTGAGGCAGTGCACAACTCATCACACCCGTGGGGTGCTGGAGGGGGGGGCACATGGGCCCCCCTCTAAATAAATACAGCGGCTAAGGCAGTACACAACTCATCACAGCCATGGGATGCTGGAGGGGGGGGCACATGGGCCCCCCTCTTTAAATAAATGCAGTGACTGAGGCAGTACACAACTCATCACACCCGTGGGGTGCTGGAGGGGGGGGCACATGGGCCCCCCTCTTTAAATAAATACAGCGGCTGAGGCTGTACACAACTCATCACACTCGTGGGCTGCTCAAACATGGTCCTGGATAAAATCGGGTGGGGGGAAAAAATCAGCGGGGGGACGAGGCGCGTGGCCCCGTGCCTCAGTTTCCCCGCTCTGCCCTCCTCCCAGGTGGCCATGGGCTATGCCCACTCGCTGGTGATCGCCCGCGACGAGACCGACGCCGAAAAAGAGAAGCTCCGCAAGCTGCCCGAGTACAACCCCCGCACCATCTGAGGGGCTGCCCCCCCCCCCGCCCCCCCCCACCGCCGGGATCCCCCCGAAACGCCGCTTTTCCAAGCCAGCCGTGGTTTTAACTACCTGTTCTCCCATTTCCAAAGCCTCGAGGGCGGGGGGTTTATTGCCCTCCCCCCTTCCACGGCTTTTTGAGTTCCCAACCATAGCAGGATCTTTTAGAGGCTTCTTTTGAGGGGGGGCTGTGGGGGTGTGTATTTTTTTAATTAATTTTATTTGTATTTTTCTGCATCACTTTTTTTTTTTATTTCCCCTTTTCCCAGCTACAAATACCCCCAGCTGCAGGCTCGGGGTAAATTTGGGGACCTGAAAAGCAGCTGCAAAACACCTCTTTGGTTTTTTTTTTTTTTTTTTTTTAGTCCGTCCCCCCGCCCCCAATATTCCCATTTCTTTGGCGTTTTTCCCCCACTTCGGGTGCTATCATTCTGGGGGTTCCCCCGCCCCTCCAGCATCCCTTTTCCCGGCGGGATTCAGGATATGGATGTCATCCCACATCCCCCCAAGGGCCAAACCCCCTCCCCAGCATCATTTTGGGGCTCCCCTCCCCGCTATCCCAGCCCTCGCCCACCCCAGGGAGATCTCAGGTATGAAGAGGGGAGCCCTAAAGCATCGCGTAAGCTTTTTCTTGGAATTATTCTTAATTTGTTTTAATTATTATTAATTATTTTCCACCTGGTATCAGCCCAAAGTCCTTCCTACGCCGCTGTGCACTGTGCTGGAGAAACGAGGTGCCTTTTCGAGCAGAGCACAGCTCTGCCTCCACGCAACCCGAGGGTGATTTTTTTTTTTTTGTAATCCTTTTGATTTTTGAATTTGTAGGGGTTTATTTTGAATTTTTAATATTTTAAGTCCTTTCCTCTCTCCCTGAGGGGTCGCGCTGGGTGCTCGGGGGCGGCGTTTGCCACAGTCGCGCCCGTTTGGGGAGTTTTGCAGTAAAAAAAAAGGGGGTTTTTTCATTTGTGTTGGGGTTGGGGTTTATTTTGGGGTTTTTGGGGGGTGTGTTAGAGATAAAATATCCAGGACGGGGAGAGCAGTGGGGCGAAAAGTCAAATATTCCGCTTTTTTAGCAATATTTGTTTTTTGAGGGTTGCGGTACGAGCGGATGCCACAACCCCAGTAAAAGAGGGGGAGGAAAAATCACCAAAAACCCACTTTTACCCCTCAAAAAAAAAGCATAATTTTGGTTCATCCTGCCCGCCAGCAAAATATTTTTAGCCTGATTGAACTTCTGCCCCTTCGGCCGCCCCTTCCCAGCTGCGGGCGGGAGAAGGAGGAGGCTCGAGGAAGAAAATAATCTTAAACCACAAGGATCTCGGAACAACTCGTCCTGTAGCAGAGAGCGTCCTGGGTTAGTGCTGTAATTGTCTTCATGGTTTGTTTTTTTGTTTTGTTTTTTTTTTTTTTATAATTCTTGGAGTAAATGTTTAAATAAACAACGTCATTGTGTACCCCCCTCGCTCCTCTTGCTTTATCCACCCCTATTTAATTTTTTAATTTAAATGTAATTCATTTAACTAACGGAATGGGTGCAGGGGATGCTTTTTCCTCCAAGTGATGCACGCCCAGCATCTCCAAAAGCAAACCCACAGCCATGAGAGGGCACCATCCTGCTGCTGCCAGCATCCTCCAGCCCAGAGCATCAATATTTCCCCTTCACGTTTCGCAGGCCGGGTGCAAACACGGGGCAGTGCATGCGTATGCGAGTATTTAAATGCGTGCCCCCTGCAGTTTTGTGCACGTGTGTGCTTTTTTGCACGTGCACACGGGGCTTTGTGCCTGCCTGTGGCTTTCTGTGCATGCCCAGGTGTGCTTTTTGTGTGTACACGCACGTTTTTCCCTGTGCGTGCGCGGTGTTAGGCGTGCAGGTGGATTTTTGCACGTGCCCCTGTCTTTAGGGGCGTGCTTGCTTGCTTTTCTGCATGCACGTGTGGTGGGTTTGCATGCACGTTTTGGTTTTTTTTTTTTTTTTGCACACCCTCACTTCTGCGTGCCCACCTGCAGGTGCGTTTTGGTGCATGTTTTTGTGCACGCGTGCGCGCGCATTTTTGTGCATGCACGCGTCTGCACGTGGTTTTGTGCACACATGCACGTGCGCTTTTGCCTGTGTACGTGTGTTTTCGTGCACGTACACACACTTCTGTGCATGCATATCTGCATGCACACATAGCTTTGTGGGTGCTTTGGGACATGCACATGTATGTTTCTTCATGTGCATCACTGCAGCAAGACAGAGGACTGTATAACCCCACTCATCGCTTCTTTTTCCCTCTGTTTTACCATTTTAATTTGAATTGCTCTGCTGGCAGAGCAATGCCCACCTACCATACCACCCCAAAGTGTCACCCAGAGAGCCAAAAAAAAAAAAACAAATTTTCCCCTTTTAAACAAAGCTTCAAACCTTGCACCCAGGAAGAGGGGGGCCGGGAGAAGGCTGCAGCCCTTTTTTTATTTCAACCGATGGCCACCACCGCTGAAGGCACTTTGCAGGGACGGGGAGCAGGATTTAGGGGGGGGGAGGAGGAACGGTTGGTGCTGCAGCAGCTTCAGGGCACCATGTGCCACCATTTGAAGGCGAAGGGCTTGCGCCGGACGTTGGTGCCGCAGTGGACCTCCCCGGAGAGGACGTGGTAGGAGAAGTAGTCGTCGATGAAGGTGCAGGTGAGGCCCAGGGGCTCCAGCAGCGCCCGCACCCGCTGCTCCAGGCAGCACTGCCCACCCACCCGCGGTCCGAAGGGCTTGGGGATGCCCAGGTGCCTGCCCAGCACCAGCATGTTCACCTGCGGCACGGGGATGGTGGTGAGGGGGGCAAATCCCAGCCCTGATCGATGCCCTGGGGTGGGGGGGAGGATGCTGAGGGTTACCATGTCGGGGAAGAAGGCTTCGGCACCGGCAGCCACGTCGCCACGGAAGAGCTGGGGGAGGTCGAGGATGTCCGGCTCGGCCAGGCCCAGCTCCCGCTTCAGGATGTCCCTGTTCCAGCTGATGCAGCTCTGAGGGGAGGGATGGAGGGATGGACAGAGGGATGGACAGGGGGATGGACAGGGGGATGGACAGAGGAATGGACAGGGGGATGGACAGGAGGATGGACAGAGGGATGGACAGAGGGATGGACAGGGGGATGGACAGGGGGATGGAGAGGGGGATGGACAGGGGGATGGACAGGGGGATGGACAGGGGGATGGACAGAGGGATGGACAGAGAGATGGACAGGGGGATGGACAGAGGGATGGACAGGGGGATGGACAGGGGGATGGACAGAGAGATGGACAGGGGGATGGAGAGGGGGATGGACAGGAGGATGGACAGGGGGATGGACAGGGGGATGGACAGGGGGATGGACAGGGGGAGGAATGGGAGGGAGGGATGGAGGGAGGGATGGGTGGTTGGAAGGACAGAAGGATGGATGGGGGATGGAAGGATGGACAGAAGGAAGGGTAGACACGAAGGGTGGGTGGGTGGACAGAGGGACAAAGGGATGGGTGGACAGATGGAGAAACAGAGAGAGGGAGGGATGAGTGGAGGGACAAGGGATGGACAGAGGGAGGGAGGGATGGACAGAGGGATGGAGGGACAGAGGGATGGAGGGACAGAAGGACAGGGAGGGCTGGGAAGGAGCCCCTTGCTCCCCTTCCTCACCTGGACATAATTATTGAATTTCCGGAGGCTTTCGTTAGCCAGAATCTCGTTTATCGTCGGCTTGGGCACCTCCTCCAGCCCTGCAGCACAGATAACGGGGCGGGATGTTTTCCCCCAGCACGTGTCGGGGTGAGGCTCCCGGGTTTGAGCCGGGGGCTCCCCCTTTTCAGGGGTCACCGGCAGCGAGCTCCATCCCGACCCAGGAAATCAGATCTGCGCCGCTTTTCAATTCATTCCGCTTAATTCTGCCCCCTGCCCTTGCTGCTGGCAGCGCTTTCCAGCCGCTAGCTGGGTTTCGGGGTGTCATGCATTCACCCACCCCATGGTATTTTTCAGGGAAAAGGGAAAATGAACTCATCAAACTGGTTTTCATCCCTACCCTACCCTCGAACATCGCCGCCTCGCCGAACCCCTCCTCTTGCTTCTCCTTGAGGAGCTGGTAACAGGCGCTGGGGCTGGCCAGGAGCAGCCGAAAACCCTGGGGAGGGAGAAAGGGATAATTGGGGGTGGGGGGGCATAAAGGTCGCACCCCACTTTTTTCCTCTCCCTGGCACTCATTACCTTCCGATCAGGCGCAGGGACGAAGCTGAGAAACTCATCTACGTGGCCGACTTGGAGCCAGTCCGAAAACAGCTCCACCGGCGCCTGCACTTGTTGGGCGATGAGAAAATCCTTGACGGCTTTCGCCATCCTCCGGCCGCCGAATCTGGGGGGGCACAAGGGCAGCGCTGCCATTTTGGGGTGCCCAAGGTGATGCTCTGCTTGCAGCCAACCTCCAATGGTGCATCAAAATCCCTTTTTTCTCTTGTTTGTTTTTTTTTTTTTTTTTTTTTTTCAGTGCACCGACATCTTACTTGGGGAAGCTGCTGCCGATCAGGATGCGGCCCAAGGGGTACTCCTTGCCCTGCACCGTCACGGGGGGCTCACCTCCAAGTTACCAAAGGAATCGAGGCTGGAAGCACCCTCCGGTGCTTGCCGGGCCACGTAACCAAAGTCAGGGCCCTGGATGGGGGGAAAAAAAAGGTGATAACGGTTAAAAAAAAAAGCCTTAAGCACCTAAAAGCGCAACACTCCCAAATCACCCTCTGTGCTAGCTCTTCCTTTCCCAAAAAAGTGGAAGAAGAAAACAGACTTATTCTAATTTTTTAATGGGTTTGCAAAGCTTTATGCCTTGCTGGGGGAGGGAGGAGGAAGGGACTGGGTACCAGGATGCTCTTGACGGGGAAATCCTTCAGCCCTCGGTCACGGGGCGAGTCGAAGACGACGGGGAAGGTCTTGTGGGGGGCTTGCACGTAGCCAAATTCGACCTCGTCCTGGAGAAGGGATGGAGAAGATGGGGGGAGCCCCCCTGGAGCTGCTGCAGCGAGGATGGGGCCGGGCATCATCCTGCACCCACCTGGATCCAGCGGTCCTGGCGGTTCTCCAGCAGCGGGCAGACGGTGAGCGGGCACTTGGCTTTCTCGGCCACGGCGCTCACGGCCGCCACGAAATCCTCATTGTCATCCACGCTGGGAAGAAAAATGGGATATGGGAGCTGATCCAGCACCGGGCAGGATGCGGCCGCCCACCCAGCACCCACCTGCAGACAAAAACCTCCAGTGGTGCTGCCGTGTTGGGGGTCATGATCCACGGAGCCACGCGGAAAACCACCGTGTCAGTGAAAATCGGAGTTTCCAGCAAACCCTGGCGTGGCGGGGGGGGACAGGGTTTGGGCTCTGCTCCCCCCCTGGTTACGGCTCACCCCAACCCCTCCCATGGCCGGTACCTTCTCGGGGCTCTCCAGCAGCGTGACGTGGAAAGCCACCAGCCCCGAAAAGCCGACGTCGGGGAAGGCGAGCCCCTCCACGTAGAAGATGCTCTCCTCCTGATGCCGGCTGGGTTTGACGGTGTAGGCGAGCTTCGAGCCCCCCAGCACGTGCTTGTACTCCTCCAGCGCGATGCTGTCTGTGGGTGCAAGCACCATGCAACCCCCCTAAACAGCTGACCCCCCTTTTCTGCAGTGCTTCCGCTCTAATTTTTTCGCGAAAACCTTGCAAAAAAAAGGCGTCTTTGATCCTGTGGAGCATGCACGGCGGGAGCAAAATCACCCGGTGCATCAGATGAAACCCTGCTGTGGGATGTAGGTTGGATGCGGCAGAAATGGTACCCGCTCTGCTGCGAGCTTTTTGCTTGAACCCTGACCATTTGGGGTGTCTGCCCCCGCCCCGAGCCCCGGTGCCGGGCACTCACTGCCGCCGTAGAAAACGCCGACTTTATCGGCGTCGCCGAAGTCCACGTGGAGGACGAGGTGGTGGCCGGCGAAGATGGTGCGGGGGCCTCGGGTCCGCAGCACCATCTGCGACATGTCCTTCAGGTCTGGGGGGGGGGGGGAGGGGAAAAAGGGGTGTAAAAAAGGAAAAAAATGGGGTGGGGGGGAAAAATATGAAGAGGGGCGTTTCTTGTATGGGATGTGCCGGTACCGGCGTAGGAGCGGATGGCCGTGTCGCGGTTATCCGGCAGCTCGGCTTTGGGATCGTCGCGGTCGCAGTTCACCAGCAGGATGGCCCCGTGGCCGTCGGGACCCCACGTCCACGTCGCCTGGGGAGGGGGGGGTGGAACAAAGCAGGTTTGGGGGTGTCAACCATCACCCCACACACACACACACACACACATATCCACGGTGGTCCCAGGGGGCTCCCACCCCTATTTCATACCTTCTCCAGCAGCGTCCGGCTCACGGCCCCGCTGCGGCTAGTGTCGGCGTCCAGCGAGACCTCTGCGGGGAGAGGGATGCTGGGGAGGGGGCGGGGGGGGGGGGGTGGGAGAGGCGGAATC